CCGCCCACCGCGGGGACTCGTTAATGACATGTCCTTCCTCTGGCAACCTCTCTTACTTATCTCGCCTCCCTATTTCCTTGGGTTCCTGGGGTCACCAAACCCCCTTGAATCTGTCTCGGAGTCCCTTCCCAGAGGAATCTTTAGCTGGGCTTATTGCAAAGATGAAACTATTACGTGTTCCTGGCATACAGTAAGTGCTTAATAAATGCACTATGGAATGAAAGATGGGGTGGGGCGTCACCAGGAGAGGAAGATTGGGGCAGGGAAGAGGGAGGGAGAGACCTGGGGCCCTCCCCCGGCGGGCAGGGGAGGATTCCAGAGAAGCAGCGCCCCCTTCTGGACGGGCTGTCACCACCATTCCTCCCGCCTCTGACCTCTCCCAGCCTGAGTGACCCGCCAGCTCCTCCCGGCCAGCACACCCACAGGCCAGTTGGGAATCAGCAAGGCGATGTCACCACCGGCCTTTCAGGTTACCTCGCTGGTAGGAAAGCGCCACTGAGAGCCAGACTGTGAAGAAAAACTTGAGTAAAGTAAATGCAAGAGTTAGCTCAGCTTTGAACCATCAAACATTTAAAATGGCTTATTATAAAACAACAAAGCAGCGTTTGAAGCACAAGAGTCCTGAAGAGGGCCTTTTCCTCTTTCCAGCTCCTGGAATCTATCTAGTTCCCAGCCCCAGCCCCTCATGTGTCTAGGGGCGGAGGGAGGGCCAGGGGCTTCCTGGGGTCCCAGGGCTCCCCTGCACATCCCCCTGCAGCCCCACTAGACATCAAGGACTGCTTTCAGAGAAATTTGTCCTAGGAAATAAAATGCCCCTTTTGATAGAGATGCCATATTTTTTATTCTCCTCTGGTCTGGGGATCAGTATCAGATATCCATGAAGTCCAGGTCCTTGAAGTCATGTTGGCATTCAGCAAGTGGGGTGCAGGAGCCATGGGTCCTGTGGAATGGGGAGGGTGTGCAAATGAGGGCTCTGTGTGTGTGGTTCTTAGGGGGGAGACACCCCTGCCCTGAGTGCACTTCCAGAAGAAGACACCCTGGACCTCCGCTAGGAAGCTGCCTTCCACAGCTGGGTCAGAGCCTCAGGGGCCTGGGACTAAGGACCCCCTGCAGGGGTGGTTGGCAAGGCGCATGTCTAGAAGGGGCCCTGTGTCTGGGTGGTGCCCCCTTCGGGGAGGGGTGAAGGAGTGCAGCACATGGCTGCTCTGCAAAGCTAGCAGCCTCACCCCCAAGAGTACGCTGCGCCCCCCACCCCAGCTCTGCCCCGGCTGTGGCTCTCCAAGTGGTCCCCACACCAGCAGTGCCAGATCCCCAGGGCCTAGCCATCTGTGCTTGGGCAGCCCTCCCGCCCTGCCCTGGAGGACTCAGCTGAGAACAGCTGCCCATGCTGGTTCCCACGAAGCCAGAGCCCCTCGCAGCTGGGCAGGACCCCGCCTGCGCAGTTCCTTAAGGACTCCCTGCCCACCGCCTGAGAGGAGTCAGTGAGGGCAGCTCCGTGTCCCCCTAGGTCTACCCCCTGCGGCGTCAGTCATGAGGCCACTGCAGGCCAAACTTCAAATGCCAGGGCAGAGTCCTGAGGCCTGGCACAGGCTGACAACCTTCACCTCACTGAGGGGCTCCACCTGGCTTCATGGGAGACAGAGGCCTGAGGGGAGGCTCCTCCGAGTGGACCCCAGCCTTCCCTGGAGGGGCTCTGAGGTCAGGCAGCTCCCACGGACAGGGCTCTGGCCCCTTGCCCAGGAGCCATTCCCCCAGGTACTCACTGGTACCCTGCAGCCTCTAGAAGTCGCTTGACTTCATGAACCTGCCGCTGCAGGACAGAAAGAACCCTGCTCCCCGCTTCTGGAGGCAGCAGGACCCTGGGTCTGGAAGGGGCCTCACCCACTGATTTGGGGCTCAAGAGTGAAAAGAGATGTGAGGACGTGAGGACCCTCCTGAAAGAGCTGGAGCTGGAGCCAGTGAGGGCCAGCGCTGGGAGCCCGGGCACAAGCCCCGCGGCGGGAGCGGTCACAGGAGGCCGTGAGGGTGGGGGGCAGAGCTGCAGAGGGGACAGGAGCCGCCTAGCAGGGGAACACTCTGAGTCAAGCGGGATTGTGGATACTGTGTGAGGAGGAGTAAGTGTGGTGACCATCTGAGCATCACAGAATTATCACAGACTGCTAGGGAAGGCCTGGGCCCATTTCCAGGAGCTCACCCCAATGTGCTGTGTGGCTCTGGGGAAGCCTCTCCCCTCTCTGGGTCTTAGCTCACCTCAGGAAGAAGCTAAGTTCGGAGAGCTCGGGCTGTTTCTTGTGTCCTGGGACCAAGCAGTTGAGTATCAGCCACACTCTGCCCCACCGGGCTTGGTCCGTGCTACCTCAGGATCTTGGCACACATAATTTTGTGTATCTAGAAGCCTTCGCTCAGCTCCCAAATGATGTCTTGCTTTACATGTGCAGAGCTCTCTGCATTTCTCCAAAAACCTAATAAAGTCTGTAAGTTGATGTTTCCTTTGTGACCACTTGGCTCAGGTCCGGCTCTTCTGCGGGGCTGTGGGCATCTAAGTCCAGGCCCCCTGCCATCTTCCCGCCAGCACAGCACATGGCACTTAGTGTCCGTCCGCATCCTTACATCATGGGCAATGGCTGCTTCCATTATTTTTGGAGCCAAGAAGCTCCCCAAGAAGCCTGGAGCCCCCAATTCTGCACCCCAGAAAGACAAAGGCCAAAGGCAGCCTGGAGGCACGTGCAGCTCCCAGCAGAGGCCCTCAGCTTCCAGGCGCTCGCCTGTCCCTGCACTTGCTTGCTGCTGGCGAGAAAGCCGGCCTTGGGGTACCCCTCACCAAGGGCACTGGCTGGCCCTGCCCTCTGGACCCTGTGACCCCGTGAAATGACCCTCTGTGCAATGCCTGAGGACATGGGCAACTCTGGGCAGGAGCCAGGGGCACCTCCTGAGGTCCTGTCTCTCCCGTCCCTGAGGCCCAAAGTGGCAGAGATTCAGAGGGCTGCCCAGAGAGAGCTATACACATCGGCACACACAGACACGATGCCTTGAATTCAAATGTGCAAGCCCGGACACAAAGACCCACGCTAACACTGGAGAGGCCACAGAAGCACGAGCCGCGCGGGCCCCGCTCACGCCGCGATGCAGGCCCAGGGAGACAGGTGCACAGACGGTTCCTCCCCACGCACAACCGCAGCGCCGTCTGCAGACACGAGCCTATGGGTGGGTGTACTCATCACCCGCACGCTCAGGCACCGTGTGACAGTGACAATGGCCGCTGTCTCTGCTCTGGATTTGAATGAGGAGCCCGGTTTAGGATCAACTCCGCTCTTGAAAGGCTGGTCCCTCCATGACCCCCTTCCAAGCTCCAGTCACCCCGCACCTACAAGGCGAGGCCTCCACTTGCCCAACCCTGGATCAAACACACAAGGGCCGTTTGAAAATGGGCCCAGGGAGGCAGCTCTAGCAGACGTCGCATCACCCCAGTTTTCTCCTTCCTCAGCAGCTCCCCAACAAGCGCCCAGATTTCTGAGACCCCGCCCCTCGCTGAGGAGACGAGGCGCTGGCGCCCTCTGGTGGCAGCTCTCGGCAGCGCGTGCCCAGGCTGCCAGGCCAGGAGCAGCTGGAGATGCGGCCCCTCCCGCCAGCCCCGACCCCTTTCTCCATCCCCCTGGGGTAGAGGCAGTCGCTGCCTCGAAGTGAGGCATCTCAGAGAGGTACCCTGCACCCCGGTGTTCACAACAGCCATGGCAGGGAAATGATCTAAGTGTCTACGGATGGATGAGTGCAAATGAGGAATATTTCATTCTTCAGTGTTCATGGAAGGTAAAGCTCTCTTTTGTTGGAGATTCTGGGATAAAGACAATTTGCTCTAGGCATGGGTGAAAAAATCAGTAGCCTCAAGCAGTCGCACAATGGGGATCGAGGCTTAGAGTAAAGTAGCAGTAGGAAATTTTAAAAACAGGTACCTAGATGATATTTCCAAGCTTCTGAATCACAGCCTTACCCACAGAGTGCATTTTACTGGAAATATCCTATCCTGGGGAGAACTTTTTTCTTTTCAAGTGATTTCTTTATGCATACAAGAACTGAGATACAGGTGAGAGGATTCACCAGAGACAGAGTGGGGAGCAAAACAGGTAGATCAACTGAAATACACTGCTGAGGGGAGCAGCGGGTGAGACAGGAGAGGTCTGCCGCGCCATGTGGGTCAGCTCTGGGGCCGGGGATTGAACTCGTGCTGCAGCGGCTGTGGACAGCTTCACAATGCTGTGCTCTAACCTTTTGCACCACCAGGGAGGGCCCAAGACCAGGGAGGACCTGAGCATTTTTTTTATTAAAAAGCAGGGGAGGCCCTCCCTGGTGGCGCAGCAGGTTAAAGCACAGCACTGAGAATCTAAAGCCGCTTCAGCATGAGTTCAATTCCCACCTGCCCCAGAGGTGACCACATGGCGTGGCAGACCTCTCCTGACCCACCCGCTGCTCCCCTCAGCAGTGTACTTCGTGGATCCGCCTGTTCCGTGCCCACCTCTGTCTCTGGTGAAGCCTCTCACCGCCCCTGAGCCTCTGGCCTGTACCCCATTTCTGTATGCACAAATAAATAAATCTTAAAAAAAAAATAAAAAATAAATAAAAAAAAAAGCAGGGGAGGGGAGGGTTAGTTTTTCAAGCCACCCCTTTCGGTGGGTGCTGGGGTTACATGTGTCAGTATCAGAAGGAACCCCACAAACACACCCCTGTGCATTATCGAGTGCCTTTGTGACAGGTAACAGGAGAAGAGATGGCTCCATGCAGACTCAACCCAAGGAGGGCCAGGGAACCCCGCATTCTTGCTGTGTTGGCTTCCAGCACTGTTTGTGCTCTTGGAGGTGATTTGATGGCAGCTGCCACCCAGGACAGGCACCTCCTGCCGACCGGGCTTGTTCAGCAGGTCCTGTGCCCTGGAGTCCCTGAGGCTGCATTTGTACCCTCATCCTGAAGCCTACCGGGGATGTCCCCCAAGTTCTGGAGCCCGGGGGTCAGCCAGAGCCTGCTTCAGACACGCCACCTGGGCGTGGCACGGGGCCTGGCACTTGGAAGAGCTTGGTGAATGGGGGCACTGTCACCAGCCCGGAATCTTGACTTTTGCCCGAGGGGCCCGTGTTCTTTTGCACGTGGCTGACGTACCTCTGATCCCGCTCGGTACCTCCTTCCCTCTGTCCTGCCCTCACCTTGAGCTCGGCTCCAAGTGATGAATACTCCCACCCCAAAGGCTCAAAGGGGAGAAAGCGAAGAGATGTCACAAGCACTGGTGCCCTGGAGAACAGGCAGGGACACGCGCCTGCTGGCACGGCCTGGCCGCTTCCACCAAACCGGAGACGGCTCCCAGTTAATTATGAAGTCGGCTGTCCTGTCTATTTATGCTCTTCGCCAAAGCTGCCAGGCAGCGCCTCCCGCAAATCTGTTTGGTGGCCCCATGCTGGTGCCCAGCTCGGCGTCTCGCTTTGTGGTTCCACTTGGAAATTGCTAGCATCTGTGTTTTCGTGACAATTGGAAAGCTGCGGTGACTAAACCCAAACGTTGCCAACTGTCACCGTTCTGACAGGGAGGGGGGCAGTGAGTGGGGAGCACTCACTTCTTGGGGAAGCTCTGTGAGGTCAATGCCTTCTACAGGTGCCCTTGTTCCAAGACGCTGAATCCAGACTGCGGTTTGTTAAGAGGAATGACCTTGGGGAGCCCATGACCTTGGGGAGCCCATGACCTTGGCGAGCCCATGACCTTGGTGAGCCAGCTTCCTTGTCCTGCTCAGCGGTGGTGGCTTAGCGCTCACTCAACCAGCGCAGGACTCTTAAGCCTCTCTGGCCGGATGCGAGAAAGCTAACATGCCCAGGAGCCAGCTAACGGCCAGTTTGATAAATACTGATGAGCGTTTGGGTGCTGCCACTTGAGATTCAGACAGGACAAGTGATGGCCCAGATGGAGAGGAGCCCCAGGTCCCAGCCTGCGATGACTGACCAGAAGCTTATGTGTCCAGCTGGTGGCCTGAGAGAAGGCAGCACCCAGAAACCCTCTGCTCCAGACACCCCCACCCACTCACCCATTCTCTGTGCAACTGCGGGCATTTGCCTCTCTCTCTCTGGGCCCCAGAACTGTCAGATGAGAGAACAGGGTAGGGGAGGGAGCTTTGCAAGATCCTGAGTGAGACTCTTCGCCCCTGGTCATGGCAGTAGAGCCACTCAGAACGGGCAAGCCCAGCCCCTCGCCCCTCAGCATCCCAGCTCCCCAAGCCTCCCCATTGTAGTGAATAAATGGATGTGTCAGGTCCTCAGGTTTTGTGGGGCTCTCCTGCACACAGGAACCCCTTGTTTCTTTAATCAGGATCCACCCTGCTGGCCCATCCCACTGTCCAGCCTCCTCTGAGCACCCCTGGCCACCTTTCCCAGGTTGCCTGCTTGTCCTGTCTTCCCTGGTTCAGGCTCTTCCCAGGGGAGCCGGGAGCCGGGAGCACCTCTGGAGGCTTTTGTGTGTCCATCCATGGAAGAGATGAGTCGGGGGGG